GAGAACCGATGAAACGATGTCACGTGTTGCCCGATCACGACTGACATACAGAAACTTCGTTCCGGTCTGGGTAAGGAGATGTGAGGTAGCCGTTGGCGAGTTCCGCGGAGAAATAGGAAACGGTGTGAAACCGACGCGCATGACTCCAAACAGATGAGTTGAATAGGTGATTGAGTCTGCGCCGTCGTAAGCTGTTCACTAAGCAGTCCAGGAAGACGAAACGGAGGTCATTACCTGTAACTGCAAGTATCCCTACTGCTGTGCCAGTGGAAGTATTGTCTGAGCAAAGTTTCAGAGTTTCCAGTGCCATTTTAGCAGCGCCGTGAATGCCCAAAGCTACATTACTCCAAGTCAATTCATGTCGACCAAGAGAGGAACTTTCGTAGCGGAAAAGTGGGTAGTCTGGGGACTGATGGGCATGGAAATCGTAGATCTGAGAAATACAAAGCGAGCCGTCCAGTGGCGGCGTAGTGAAGATGGGTTGCGAGTGGATCGACATCATGAAGTACTCTGTTGAAAGGAACAAGGACTCAATTACAGGGCGTAACTCCAAGTTTACTCAGTTACTTAACTGCCCTTGGTAGGTGCTTAGAAAGCGTAACTCACTCCAGTGCATAGCCCAACTAGTTGCTGGCAGCTACATTGCAATGTCTGAACGATACCGTATACGGTGGCTGTGCTTGGCGACACTGCCAGACGCTAGAAGCCATGCTTACTGAACAGCCGTTGCACGCAGCAACTGGCCAGAAAACTACCCTATTTGGGAGTCATCATTAAACTCGTTGATTCTGCGAAATCGAACGAGCTGGCTCACGCGAAAGCTTTGAGATCATGAAGTCTTCATCAAAAGTTGGTCCTATGCTTTGATGCACGACGAATAAGATGAAAGACGGACATCAGGAAAATAACACTTTACTATTTTTGACTTTTTGTGACTAATGTGACTTTTTGGGAAGGAGTCTACTATCATTACCCATGTCCTGCAGGCATGGCTGCACTGTTCTTGCTGATTTTGGTCTTGTTCAAACCACCTAATTCATAGCTTTCAGTAGATACCACATATATTCAAATTGATGGAGGTTCCAAAGAGATATTGTGATTTTTCTCTCAGACAGTGTGCATCACACCAATGGCTCAATATCTCTGAATTTTCAGACATTTTCTAGTCTTCTTGGCTTAGATATATCATCACTTAGTTGTCTCAATAGATTCTGTTCTCTTTTCATTCTTCGAAATGCTGTATATGGTCAAAAAAAAAGTACGTTTATTCCGAAAAATTTGCAGGTGGCTGTGCTTACAGCCACTGCAAATTAGTAGGTTCCTTCCCAAAAAGTCACAAATAGTCACAATAGTCACAAAAAAGTCAAAAAAAAGTCACAAAAAGGTCAAAAATAGTAAAGTGTTAATTTCCTGATGGTTCAGTGTATTGAGACCAGACATCACTTGGACTCAATGCGTGATTCAACATGCACCGGCCAAATATGTGGGAACCTTCAAGTGACAATTGACAAGGTGGCTGCGAGGTGATGTGGCACATCACCGATAGCTCAGAAGATACTGAACCGATGAACTCTTGCATTGGAGAGTGAATATGATGGAGTTTCGACGCATCTTTCAGCTAGGTAGAAAAGTGTTTAGCAGTGTCAAAACAAGCTGTATGTTGACGTGGACTGTAAAGGGGATCGTCGTAGATAGGATAGTTATGAGGATCACGGGGCCACAGGGAGGTGGCAAAACGTCTTCAAGAGTGCGGGGGACGGAACATGATTGGACCCTGCCGACGAACCTGGTGATCTCGACAGCTGCACACAACTCTGGCACTCAAAAGAGAAAACGTACACATTGATGCACGGTAAGGGAGGTGCAGGATGTAGGTAAGAATGAAAACGGTAGAATCCAGAGAAAAGAATTTACGTGGGCATGCCTGACAAGAACCCTCTCGGATCGATGTGTTTTATCGAATGGACAAACAAAGTTTTGGACGACTTGTTTTAGAAGTTCTGTAGTACCCCTGTGTCATTTAGGGTGCTGAGGGCGAGGGGATCATGGCCGCCAAAACTAGGAGCCAGCCTGCGCATTCGCGGAAATCCACATAGATACCGAACTAGAAGGTTTGAAGCCGCCTCTCAGGCAACCCTAAACCGCAATGAAAAAGTGACCTAATGTACGTGTGGATTGCAAGTACCTACCCTACACCGCGGTCTCTTATGCTTGTTCCGGTTTCGAGGGCAGGAAGCCGCCATCACAGGGACCAAGAACCCCTACTCGATCACCGTGGCCTGCATACGCGTGATTCGAATAGGCCCAATGATTGAACGATCTCTGACATTAAAGTGACCCCCCTTCCCTCGTACATAAGGTGAAAACATTAGATATGGGAATGAGAACGAAGGAAAGGAGTCGTACTGCTTGTAGTAGTGATGAAACAAAAACAAATATTGATGAGCTTGGGAGAACCCTTCATGATAGTCTCAGACTCCGTCGCGCATCGCGGACAACGCGTGGGCTGAGGGTCGTTTACTAAAGCTCTAACGTATGACCTAGCCACGGCCTTGCAAGAAGGTTTGATGGATCAGGCCAAAGCACCAACCGTTGATGTTGACTCAAATGGTGCAAAAGCTTTGTCGTCGTGAGCCAGTTCGTTCGATTTCCTCAAATTAACGAATCTGATAATACTCCCAAGTAGGGTAGTCTTCTGGCCAGTTGCTGTACGGCACTTCATACAATATGTGGTATGGCTTCTGGGCAGTACATAAGCACGTTCACCCACATCCCCTTCCACCGTATTAACCACCACCACCACCACGACCGCCATGGCAAACTCCAATGTAGAGTACCGCCAGCTCGGCAAGTCGGGCCTCAGAGTCTCAGTTCCTATCGTCAGTACATCGACATCCATCTAACACTCATCGGTTTGCTGGACTGACGTACGATTCCTATGCAGATGGGCTGCATGTCCTTCGGATCTGAAGAGCAATGGGGCGTGCGTAAAACGTTAGCATATTACTTGAAGAAACTACTTCTCTTATCACCTCCACTCCAGCCTTGGATTCTTAACGAGGACGCGTCTCTTGAGATCTTGAAAGCGGCCTGGGATCAAGGTATCAACACGTTTGATACCGCAAATGTGTACTCCAATGGCGAGTCCGAGCGCGTCCTTGGGACTTTCATCAAGAAGGTATGGCACTGGCATGGCGCCACGCGAAACCCTGTTACTCACGGCTTGTTGTCCAGTACAACATTCCTCGTTCCCAGGTCGTCCTTGCCACGAAGGTGTTCAGCCTCGTGTCCGAGGACCCTGGCGTGCACACCTACCTCATTCCAGACTTGTCAAAACAGCGACGCTACGTCAACCAGGGCGGTCTCTCACGGACTGCCATCTTCAACGCCGTTGAAGGATGCCTCGAACGCCTCGGTACCTCGTACATCGATCTCCTGCAGATCCACCGCTTCGACCCCGAAGTACCTCCAGAAGAAACAATGAAAGCACTACATGATATTATCCAGAGCGGAAAGGCTCGCTACATCGGGGCCAGCTCCATGCGCTGCTGGCAATTTGCGCTTCTAAACGAAGTCGCCGAGAAGCATGGCTGGACCAAGTTTGTCAGCATGCAAGACGAGCATTCTCTGCTGTACCGGGAGGGGGTATGTGACTCGCTGTATGTCGAGCGGCGGTACTCATTGTATCGTATCATACAAGGAACGTGAAATGCATGCGTACTGCAAGTACCATGGAATCGGTCTCATCCCGTGGTCACCACTTGCGGCTGGCGCCCTCGCGCGTCTTCCTGGTGCTAGAACGACGAGAAGCAAAGCGCTCGAGCAAACCCCCTTCAAAATGGTATACTCGGATGCCGATACGGCGATCGTCAACCGCGTCAACGAGCTCGCGCAAAAGAAAGGATGGAAGATGTCGCAGGTCGCCCTGGCGTGGAGCCAGGCTAAGGTGACGAGCCCCATCGTCGGCGCAAACTCCGTTTCCCGTGTTCAGGAGAGCGTCATCAAGGATTTTACGCTGACCTCGGAGGAAATCAGCTACTTGGAAGAGCCGTATGTTTTACCATCTTGTCATCAAACTCATTTTCTGATCTTCTGATTTTCCATAGGTATGTTGCGAAAGCAGTTCGCGTGTGAAGGGATTGTACCGAGTGCTTATGTGTCATTTTCCTGCAATATCTCTGTACTGGCATGTAGATTAGTGAATATGGACTGATGATAGTGGTTGAAAAACTATGACTCTGGCATGTTGTGAAGCAATTGAGAAGTATGAGTTTCTGGCAGTGGCCAGCCTTGGGCAGAATTGCAGCATTTGGAGAATTCGAAGTTAGTTTTCGCACTAGCATGTGGTTTGGAGTGGTTTTGGAGATAGTTTTGGATTGACACCCCCAGTGCTCAGACCCTTCAGTCACCTGTAGTCATGAAAGTCAGACTAACTGATGCTAGCCACTGGGCCCTAAGGATGGGTGGGTTGAAATGTGGAAGTGGGGTCTACCAAACTTGCTGATGGGTGGACCCACCACCAGCAGAGCTTTTACCTAGCACCAGGATTGTCTCCAGGCATTCCTGGCACTGGATGACCTCAATCTATGTATATCATGGTGGTCTTCCTGTCCACTACAAACCTCATACTCCCACTTTAAGGTACCTACACATTAGGACATGTTCTGGAATGAGACCTGTCTCTGGAATGGACCCATTCCGGGGGCAATTCCCGTTCCGGAGGGACTCAGGGGCGAACAAACATGATCGATAATCAGGTCGGTTTTTGCATTTGGCACTATGCAATTCCGCTTCTCATTCGGTCAGTATTTCAAGATACCCCCAAGCACGATCTGCTGCTCAATGTAAGTAAATACTACCATCTGATGTGCCAGTTCTACATCCCTATCTCCCACGACACCCCCTCAAAATTGTTTGTCCAACCTTCGACTGCAAGTCACTCTCCGCCTCCGGAACGCAATACACAACTGCTAGAAGCCTTATAAGCTCTTCAACTCCTTGAACCGCAGTTTCGGAAACAATTTTAGATGGCACTCCAGCTTCAGCTCGAGCGCTTCCACGTGGTTCTTGTATACGTGCGCACCGCCGAGCTGGACGATCAGTTTGTGGGCTTCGAGGGCTTCGGTATCGGTCACTTGCACGACTACGTGTGTGAATAAATCGTACGATGTGATTTTGAGGGGTATGCCCAGCCCGAGGCCATGGTAGAACATTGGGACATAAGATATGAAGTAACACCGATGAAAATCGAGTGTGTAATTGCAACTACGTACTGCTTGTATTCGTATTCGTAGTCATGTAGGGATCGTTCCCCGGAAGTACTCAGCGCGCGCGGCACTACCCGGGAGACCTCATATCTCACAAGAAAAAGAGACAGCTGCCTCGCATAACATGCCTCCTCCAAATACAATATATTTCTTCTCTCAAGCTCTGACCATAGCGCATGCCTGCCTACAATCAATCAAAATGCTGGAGCCCGGTTTAATTGGTGAGTGATGTCGGCAGCAGTCTCAAACACAAGTCGCGGGATATACCGGTGGAGTGGACTGGTGCGGTGGTGTCGATCACTGTGTACCAGGAGTACTAAGTCTTTGATGGCAGATCCGTTGTCTAACGCCTGAATTGTCTTCAGGTATTCTAGGCGTTGATCGGCGAGCCGCCTGTGTGCAGAGGTGATTCGGAGACTCGGTGTGAGGACGTTGAAATGGTGAACGTACCGTAGGATCTGTGGCGACGGATTGCGGGTATCATCCACTTCCAGCGGTGGCAGTAACAGAATCTCCGCAATCGTTTCGCTGAGTCCTGCGTCGAGCACGTTATACCCCACTGGAAAACAGTGACATTAGCCAGCAATCTCAGAATGGATTGTGCGGACACACAAATGTAGAGCATGCGGCACCTAATTGACATGACGGTGTCAGTTACTGAACATCATACAGACTGAGAAGCGCACAATTGAACCAATATGATGTCCACGAACGACGCTTCATCCGGAGGCAAGTCAAATTTCGCTGTACACATCAAGTAAAACGAAGTTGAGTTGACAGCTTGTAGACAGGGACGTACTGTGAGCCCTTCCAAAGCGGAGGAGATCCATCAGGCGTCGCACTTGGTATAGGAAACGCTGCATTATATATCTGGAAGTGTCGGGCTTGTTTGGGTCCATTACCCATCTTCGCGGAACAAGGAGGCCGTGGAGTGGGGAAGAATTGGAGGGACGTAGCAGCAAGACGAACATGCTACAAATTTCCTCCACAAAATTGCATACAACGGACAGATCCATACCAGTACCGTTCTGTAACATGAAGCTGCAGGGAAATGAATTCCCCGGCAGTGTACGAAGGTGAGCAATGAGACTGAACCTACCGAAGAGCTGACATTCCAAGGATTGGATCCAAATTGATCAGGGATGTAACTACATCCACTGAAACATCATCATCTCCGACCTCCGTCTCGTCTTCTGTTCCGTAGGATATGGGACAACATTCACTCCGCGAGACATATTCCTGTAACTGAAAATCTCCACCCAGCACCTTATGGAGACAAGTAACACGGATGATGTTCATCAAGTAGTCGCCTTCTTTTGCCGGATCATCAGTAGTCATCAGGTATTCAATTACATTTTGAATCCATATCCGAGCAGCGCTGATGCATTCTGCAGCATTCCGGACGAGGTTCCAGTCGAGATCGGCAACGGAACCCGCAACGTAAATTGGATAGTATATAGCCGCATACAGGCGGTGCAACCCGGCCATCATGCTGGGTGAAGTAGGTTAACAGCGACAACTGGCTAAGGTCGTTGCAATCGTATTCACCTTGAGTACCAGTCTTTATATCCTCCTACAACGGTAAACATCAAGTCCAAGATGAATATTTGTTGTAGATGTAGGTTGACCTTCATGTTGTACAATGCTGCATTTAACGACGTTCTCCTCAAGTGTTGATGATTGCAGCGCGTCAGTGTAGCAGCGACAATCGTGCAGAAGAGAAAATGGGCATGGAGGTGAAAAAGCTCGAGCGATACAGGATATATTGTTTTCTTCTACGACTTTTTGGCGTAGCCGTTCTTTCAATCGCGCGTTCAATAGGAGGTCAATGTCTGCCGACAAATGTCGATTCTGTGTGAACTTCCTATGTAGAAACGACCCCGTCGTGATTGAATAATGGTGATCGGACGATGGAACGATGCCGAAGACTTTCCGCACTTGAGAGTCGGTAGCCTGAAGAGGAATGTCGCCAGACACAATAGAAGCTAAAAGGCGAATGTATCTTTCGAAGCGCCTCAGGAAATTATCAAATTCTGAAGGGTGTACGGAATGAAGTGTCGGCATCCGTGAGTGGAAGACGTCGAATGCCATGAGTGCCATGGCATTTTCTTTCTGATCAGAGAATTCCTCTCCTAGCTGATAGATCTCCTTAGCAGACGGAGACTTCTGGACTGTACGGAAAAAGCGGATCTGAAGAATGCTGTCAGCCTTTGCGCCGCGATGCGTTCTACTGAACCTACTTCTCTGCTATCTGTTAACTTCAAGGGCGAAAGCGGAATGTCTTTTATACAGCTCAGTACCTTGTAAGCATCGGCTTCCTTGCTCTGCAGGATGTCGTGGACTGCCGTATCAAAGGAACACCCCCGCCATAGAATATCCAGGGCAATATCTACAGCACGTTGCATCGCGCCGGGTTGGTTGTCTTGGTGCTCTAGGAGGGTTCGGATAGCATCGCACGGCCGTCCAAGATTAAGAAGCTGAATCTCGGCGACCTCGAGAAACCTCCCTAACGATGCCAACAGATCAATGCGTGCCTGATGTAAGCCTTTGTCTTCCAGATATTTTAGTTCTTCCTCTGTCTCAGAGAACAAGGGGGTTGGTGGTCTAAACGATCTTCGTTACTCAGTTCTTTAAACAAGCTGTCATCGAACCCACCTCAGACCATTGCGAGAATAGTGCACAACGCATATGTACAGCAGCTCGTTCTTGTAGCTTTTAGCGATTCTCTCATGGTAACGTTTTAGTATTTGCGCTATCTCGTCAAAGCAACCAGCTTTGTGATATTGCTTGGCAGCCCCGGCAAAATCATCAGCATTAATGTAAAATTTCGCTGCCTGGTGGACGCTGTCGGCCAATCCGTAGCACTTCGCGGCAGCACCATAGAAACTAGTCTTTTGCGTGCCGTGGGCCTCGCCTGCACACTCAACGAATGCTTCCGCTGCACTAAGGAACGCCTTCTGGCGTTCGCGAGCTTGAGAGGTTAACATTGCAACCTCACGGAGTCGGTATGCCTGTGCGATTCGGAGCTGTGTCGGTAGGTTTGCGCGTTCGAAGCAGCGAATTGCTTCTTGGAATTGTCCAGCATTGAATAGTTTATAGCCGGATGCGGCCCACTGTTCTGGGGTTGACTCGCCGATGTATTGGGAAATATTGCCCGGGGGTGCAACATCAATAAGACCGTCCTTCGACCAGAATTCCTGCATTGTATTAGTCAAGGCCAAAGCGATCTAGGCCACGCACATACCCTCATCGGTTCACTCTTATGGGAGTGGTCCAGAAGGAATAACCTCTTCCGGGCTCGGGTGATTCCCACGTAGAGATTTTTCAGCTACCCTGTCTTTTAGCAGTGATACCAATTGTGCAAGAGGAGCATACACACTTCGGTACACAGCACGGAATGTGGACTTTCCCTTACATCGCGTGATGGAGTGGTTTCTTGACTGTTGTCTGCCATCAAGACAATGCGCCATTGAGACACCTGGGCAGGAGAATCTTCGAAGAAGTTATAGAGGAAAACCTAAAGCCGAGTCAGGTTTTCGACGAAGCAAGTTGATGAGGCACTGACATCGTCAAATTCCAACCCCTTGCTTTCTGGGAGAGTCCTAAACACTGTTTGTCAACAGATGTTCGAAAAACGCGTTGCCAACCGCACAGGATTACAGCAATATCACCATACCGCTTCCGGATTTGGTCACGTATGATGCTATCCCTTACGAGGATACCTAAGTAATGATATTAGTATAAAACCATATGGCCCCACGAAAAGCTGCCGACATTGTTCAGCACCGAGCTCTCGATTACCACTGTAACGTGTTGAGATCTCAACTTCGACGAACGGTTGTTATCTAGCATACGTACTTAAGCCCTGAAAAGAATGGCTCATACGGAAGGCTTTCATTTGACGATCCCGCGAAAAAGACAGGTTTGGGTCCACCCAGCATTGCACATTCAGGTTGCAACATGTCGATCGAATGCGGCCAAAAATCAGTTAAAAGTTTCACGACTGACTGCGCACAGTTAACTATGCCACCATGGGAGCGGTAATTGATGGCAAGCTCAAATTGTTCGGGTTTGGCGCAACACTTCGGAATTCCCATACCTCCTTTTGCCTGAGGAAATAAGGTATAATTATATCATTCCTTCCAAGAAGGAATGCACGATCTCACCTCAACACGATGAATGAAGGCTTTCAGCTCCGAAAATCGGAAACTAGACCCGGCAGATATCGTCTGAGCAGTGTCACCCGCCCAGAACAACCCATCTGCATTTCTGCAGAGGATTCTCAGCACTATCAGGAGCATTAACGTTGGACCGGCAAAAGGGGCGGTAGACATACAGATTGTGTCGATGATCAGGTTATCCTGCACTTCGTCGACATATCTGTTCCAGTCAGACAAGGAACATTGACATGAAGCAACACATACAAATAGTCTACGGGCTGTCCTTTCAAAGGGTTGCATGATAACACTTTCAAGATGGCATATGTTCTGGTCACTGGAATGAGAAATTGGAATGTCACGAAAACCCAACCAAAGTAACCTGTCGGCCATGTCATAACCATATCGCTCATGCTTCAGCTTGGAATACAATTCGAAACAATTGTACAGTGAATCCCTATCTCCTGCAAACACGGGATAATTGCGAGAGGAGAGATTCACGTATGCTTGTCGATCGAGAATTCCATTGGGGCTACCGAAAGCTTTCTCCGATCCTTTAATAACGCCTGACTTTGAGTTCAGCAAAAGGGGAAGGAGGTAGTGTAACGTCCATGCTTACCCATAAATTCACTGAAGACGAGCCATGGTCCTAGGGAAAGTCAGTATGGTTTCAATTCAACATAAGTATCCCACTGCCAACCGAAATTTTGTGCCAATGAACTCCGGCATAGCCGGGGCCAGTAGTGTGTCCTAAAAGCTGAATAGGTTACGAATGAAGGACTCGTCATTTACCACCTTATCAAGTATGAACTTGAGGCGATCATATTCTTTCGAGTCGATAAGACGATCACATCCTTTTGAGTCGTCGGCCTGAATATCCGCCGCAATCATCCGTGCCAACTACAAAAAGCCGCTTAATGGCAATCATTACTACGCAGTGACGAAACACCCACTTGATCGAATGTGATGAACAACGGAAAGTCGTGGTCACTGAGCTCGCTATATTTGTGTGGCGTTCCAAGGCGGTAGCTGACAGCATTCAGCGGATCGATCATTTGTGGCAGTTCTTGCTCAGCATTTCGAGCCTGAGACCTTAGGTTCCTGAGTTCATCTTCGGTGCGTCCCGCCAACGCCAAAGACTCCACCACACCAGTGTAGAACTCTTCGACTTTGGCAGCAAGGACCGGAAATCTCGTAACGAAAAGTTGGCGGGGTTTTTTCACACCAGGAACTTGCTCCCATGCGCGCTGGATACCCAGCATCTTGAAAACCATGGCAGTCGTTTTGCTGATTGAAGAGCATCGCATAACTGAGTTGTTTTCCCCGGGGCATATATGATATGACATACCCCGTTCCGCTCCTTCCAATGACATAACAGGATGTCGGGCATTGTACGATTTGCCATTCTTTCGTCCTTTACTAGTATTTAGTGAGGAAAAGAGAGAAGAAATTATAACAAACGTTAGCTGGAACGGTAATTCAACTTTCTGCTCTGCTCTCAATCCATTGAGGAAAGCCTAATGTGGTTTGGGGTCAGCAGGCTCCCCGAAATTGAAAACTCAGGAAAGCTTAAGAAAGCACACCTTTGACAGTTTGACATATTTGTTCGACCTGTTACGAACCATTCACATCGGATGCAACCGCGAAAAATACTGACTTACATAACCCAACTAAGATCCTGAGACGGGGAACCTGAGCGACTCGCAGGAATGACGGTGGGTTCAACGAACCTCATTTTTTCCATCTTCATGAACAAATATAGGAGATTCTTCCGTGGTAAACTCTTCCATTCTTGGACGGAAGAGGGCCGGGCGGTAAACTCCGCCGCCTGATTCAGTACGTTCCCTGAGGACACATCTAGGCAACACGAGTGTTATCGACGTGCGTGATTATTAAGGGCACGACCTCACCTTCGCCGATATTCTGTACCACGCCCGTTCAGGAGCTTGCTAAGCCATGGCCAAATGTGATCCAGTTCCTTGTGCGAATAAATTCCATACACTTTGACGACTTCTGGCAATTGAGTAGGGAGCACAAAACTTTGTGACGCCTTACCTTGGTGTTCTGCCTGGAATCCAGTGAGATAAGAATCTCAGGGAGTGGAATCTCTTACCTGGCCATCATCGTCGAGCGCGCAGTCAATTTGATACTTCGGACATCAACATCAGTCATTCCCATATTTCTCACAGGAAAAAGACCTACCACCAATCTGAGATTGCTTAGAACTTCAGCTTGATAAATGGGGATTCCATGGGATGGGCCATGGAACGCTTTGTGGTTGTTTCCTGAGAATTGACCTCTCGAAAGTTGCCTGCACATGCAAAACTATCACATAGTGTTTTCTAGAGAAGGCAGATAAACCTGCCTGATTTTCTTGAGCACACATTCAGCCATTTTTGCATCACGCCGCCTTAATTGAAACAGATCTCTTGTTGCGCTGCTGGCCATTAAGATCACCCATTCGCCGAATTGATCTATGTCGGCGACAGCCAGCGTCGCTTCAAGATGGGGGACTTCGGTATACGCTAGCGGTAACGCGACCGCAGCTTCCGTTTCATCGTGATCCCGTTCGCCACTGGCACCAAAGTAAACGTCCTTGCATTGGTTCCCAAACCGAGGATCACACAATAAGCCAAGATAAAACTGCCCCTGAATGTAAACTACGCAGGTGAGGGAATAAGCCTACTGACGCACTTTTAGAATCTGCGATATGATATTCATTACATCTCCCAAGGCCTGCATGGCGGCGTGGGAATCAGAAGGCAGATCGATGCCCAACTTGCGTAGAACGGTAGCGTCATGCGCTGAAACAGTTGTTTTTCTGTCCTTGAAGTCAACTTTCATCTTGTTTCTGGAAGTTGTGGTGCCAAAGGCTATGCAAGACAGGACGGCCATTGCAGGCCAAACATCCGCAACGTAACGTTCGTACCTGCCAACGGTTCGTGACTCGTCGCCATGGAAAGCATCGGCAGGTAAGGTAAAGAAAAACGCGGATAAAGTCGAGAGAAGAGGTGGAATGAAAGACTGTTGTATGATTTGCGAATCCGTCGGAAAGGCATGGAGGATCTTAATGCGCATGGGTAAGGAGTCTGGGAAGACTACGGGGATGTTTGTCATTTCACCCGAAGCACTACACGCGGACATCTCACCAGAAAATATGTATACAAACAGACCCGGTCTCGAGAGAAGGTCGGACACGACGTCCTCAATGTGGCCGACAGCCAACGCGTTGTTCAAATGCTCGAAAGCATCTTCTAGCCCTTCTTTAGTTTGGAGATGACGGACAGAGAACTTGTCTAAGTCCAATGTTAGAGCCATTTCTTGGGACTTGAGTAACTCAGGTCGGTACTAGCGAAAGTGGGTCGAACTCTTGAATGGTTCAAGGAGTATCGCCTTCAAAGGGGAGTTTGCGGGCGGTTGATAACAGTTGCGCCCTCATAACCTATCAAGGGTCCTTACCAGTTCCGGGGTACCATCTTCCATAAGAGATTATATCCAAGAGGAGACCTGTGATTCTGTGAAATACTAATCATTTTGGGGGTCCTCCCTGCAATGCGTATCGAGTCTGGACTTGCAGCTCGTAGGAACATGCTCGCGGACCACAGCCCGAGTCGTGGCGAGGTCTGCACAACGCTAAGTTGCCCTGGTGTGTCTGGATAAACCGTGTGAGGTACGCCAGGACGAGTCGTGACTTGGTATTAAGTGTGCATCCTCCAACCTGGAAGGAGTCGTACGCCATGCGCACTGGATTTCTGCCAGCACAAAACCTTCCATAGTCTTCGTTGGCGAGGATGGAAAGTACGTAACCTGAACTTGGCCTGAACCCATACTTAGATACAAGATCTAAAGTTGGTTTATGGGAACGAGGCACCTTCCGTCTTCGGAGTCCTCCGGTGAGGATGCAAAGTACATAATAGCTGAACTTGGCATTCCGAGTGTGTTCTTAGTAGATACAAGAATTGATGTTGAGCGCTGGCGCGTTGTATCATCATTATCGTCTATGAACGCATACGACACTACACCAACACTCCACATAACTGGAGCGAAATAAAAATAAAGTTCATCTTAAATCTCAACCGACCCGGAGTCCAATCAATGGTCATCCGTGATACGACATGGACTCGCGATCAACGCTCATCACACGTGCATATTCTAAAAGCAATCTGTAAAGAAAATCGCGGTCACAGTGTAAAAGAGATCGCAGAAAAAAATCCCAGGACTAACCTATACAGATATGCGCTCATATCTTCCTTTCTCCAGTATTGTTGGCTCCATTCCTTGCCTGCACCTGCAATTTTCGCTGCCAGCTCATCGTGGTCGCGGAAAAAGGCGACGACATCGTATAGATCAGTGTAGGTGACCTGGATGGGAACATAATGCACCCATTCGGCAATGCGAGATGTGTACCTGCCAGTTGGTCGACGATCAGTTGTTGCAAAAACCCCATGGTTCATTCCTCTACCACACGCACCACTCAGGATACACGGACACCTTGAGTATGAGAGCGTTGCTGGTGACTAGCCTCTTGAAGCGACCAGACCAGCCGTTGCCATCAACCTGACGATTGCGAGGTCAGTGCGACCTCGGATGAAATACGAAGACGATTGGAGCTTACATCTAGTATGAACTTATACCTCCCTTCCTCTTTTCTTCCTTGCATCTTCCGGAATTCAAACATCTCTTCCATCAACTTACATGTCCCAGCATCTTCTTCGCACGCCATTGGTTTCCCTGAAAACGCTATATCCATCCACGCTGGATTGATTCTTCCCATCCGCAATTGTAAAGGTTCACCGACAGGGCTCGACGCGTCTGAAGGAACACGCAGAACGCTAGTGCTCCCTTCAATCTCATTTGTCAACGTCACCAATCGCTGCCGGTGTGCATGTATCCAGAGTGTTTCGGGCGAGGCATACATACCCGTCGGACTTCCCCTCCAATCAAGTCTCTCATCAGCTTTTTCGGACCACGGTACATCACCGAGAACTTCGGAGTGGTCACCGGACGTCCATCCATAGGGTATTGGAGGACGGATGTCGTGATGAAGGAGTGTACCACAGTGAGAGAACAAAGGGACAAGCATCTGTTGTGGCAACGGCCCTCGGCGATGTGAGAGGAACTGTCCATGAGAGACAAGGATCTCAGGATGATAACAAGGATGCATGGCAGCACGATGGGATACAATAAAAGATTTGGATGCTGACATATTAGATAGCACAGGGTTGGAATCGACAGATGGAAGCACTGGAGGATCGAGCCGCGCTGGAGAATTCGGAGGACATGCTTGTATCCAACCGTCCTTGGTGACAGGCAGTAAGTGACTCTGTTGGATTGCTGGAAAAACGTCGTCGTCGTCGAGTTCGAGTCATTCAAGTGCATCTCTGTGACAAACGGGAAATCAACTTACTGGTCCCGTGTCTAGCAGCACTCAGAGCCATATCTCTGATCCTCCAATCTGTATGCATGCGAGGGTTATCGCGAGCAGACAATTGAATACGCATAGGCGGGAGATCGGCACCAAATTCCTCGGTTAAATTGATGATCGCCTCGATACGCTCACGCAAAGTACGATTACTTTCGTGAACAGTCAAGTTAGCGATCTCGAGCCCGAAGTTCGACAAGGTTTTCACAACGGTGAAGATATCGTCCTGCGTGCCTAACTCCTCCACCGATCTCGCGAGGTCCACCGGGTCAAGTCCCCAATACGGCTCGAGATCGTGATAAATCTCGTCGTACTCATCCGGAAGTTGGACATTGTGCTCGACTGCATACTCCCACCTGCGCAGAAGACCAAAGAATCATCAGCCCGAAGCTGATGACCATATATCCAACATTTTCTTACCACTTATCAAATCCCAGCGGAGGTGCGCGCTTGTACCGTTGTTTATACTCTATGACGGCCTCTGCCAGAGTCTTACTTGCACGTGCAAGCTTTGAATTCCACGATGCCTCCGCATTTTGCATAAGCTCAAAAATCGGGTGTGGGCCGTTGGGGTTGACAATTAGGAGGCCATCGCTTGTGTACGTGTGCTTCTCCAGAGAGAAAATGGGTCTGCTGTTGTGAGTAACTGGGGACGCATCATGGTCTTTCGGCGGAGAGAAATCGACGACGGAGAACACCTGCAAGTATGCATTTGACCCTCCGAGCAAGGTGGGGAATGCCGTGAGCAGAACGGTGACGGCGCAGCACACGACGGTCACAGTGTACTTTGCAAGTCGACCTCTCGTCCACTTGACCATATCGCTTGAAGTTTTCACAACTTGACATTGACAACGAACGACAGCTGGTGGGAAAATACGAACATTACAATCCCCAAGACGACAGGATCAATCCCCAGCTGTCCTATCGTATGAAATTGATTGAAGCGGAGTAGGGTAGAGTGGAGTTCCGGTGACCCGGAAAAATCAAAGAGGCGACATTCGAGAGAGCCGACTGATACACAACATCTCGCCAGCGTGGTTCTCAATGACAGTCGAAGTCCTCGCCATTTCCGTATCATGCGGAGTCCCACCGTTTTCCTCTTTTGCGCCTCGATGAAAACACTAACAGCATTAGCGAATTCGAGCACGTCCAGGAATTGCCATCCACACTAAAATCCGAAATGACTCGACGGAGGTGCAACGCAACGTCGACAACTTGGTCCGCATCGCACGAGGGTAAGTATTCGCGCAATGCGTGAGTTCAGCGCAGAACTTCTAGCATGGTCGAACAGGCAGGCGTGCTGAGTCACTCGGCAGGACCACGTAACGTATAATAACGCTGGGCGTCTGCGTGATGGAATGGACCTGGCCTCGACCCGTCAAGGCACTGTCTTGTTTCACCTTGATCATCCTTTTGACAACTTTTGACATGTAGTCACACTTCATTTTCCTCTTTGTATTTACATATGTCCCTGGCATTGCTGTCTATCTCTCAGGTTCTGACCTCTTGTCTTTCTGCAGGTATGCCTCATCGTCGTACCAGGTTGTGACATTTTATCTTTCTTCGGCCTCTGTATGTTATGAACCCCGTTCGGACGCACGACAGAAGGTTGCCCTGGCAGTCTGGCTAAATTCACAGACTATGCTCACTGCTCATGAACTTATATCCTTACAGGTGATCATCGTTGCCTACGGAACATCCAGAAATACACAACACCTATAACAACCCAATACATCAAATCAAAGTCTCGAAACCCAGTGACCGGGAAGTAAGAACGACGCAAAGTGTTTATGCACGTCCCCCATGGCAGCAGCCGGTGCCACCATCCCAACATATCCATCCGGTCTCACAATCACAAAGGTAACCGACTTGGAACTGATGCCAAACCTCTCGTAGGCACCACCTCCCTTTCTCCCAGTGACATCGGTATCATCGAGCAAGACTCTGAAGGTAAACATACATATAAGTCTTACACTCCAGTGAAATTATCTTAGAACTCACTTGGACCAATGAGGCCGAAAAACCAGAGGAACACGCAGGTAATTAAACTTCTCTTTCTTACCCGCCACGATGGTTATGAGGTCAAACATGGGCGAAGTCTGACCACCCATTGAATATTTCTGCAAGAGCCCCGCGGGCAAACTCAACTCGTCAGCGAGCGCATTGATTTCCACGACTCTGGATTCCTCCTCAATGGATCCGAGAAAAACGAGAATCTTAAACCGGATATCCGCGGGTAACAAATCGTGAATATCCACCGGTCGCGCATCTGCTGCATGGACGAAGACCTGAGGGAGCATGCACTGCCCAACGACGAGATTCTCCGCACAATATTGATGTTTGGTATTGACGATCACAGAAGGACCATAGTGTATGCTTGTGCCACACACGAACCCACTAGCGGTCTCGATTGCCCTGTGAGAGAGGTACATAGGAATGTCGTCGGCTCAGGTAGCACTCTACAGGAGGTCAATTTACGCACTGGAGGACCTCTTCAGGGGATATGCCGTCTTCGTTATCCGAAGTCCTTGTCTTACTGAAGAACATGGCTGCATATTGTTTATCGAAGTCAGTCAAGTCTATGGCGTACTTTCTCCTCTTTGACTCGTACTGCAAAGTCATGGTGAGCGGGAGGCCCGTGTATGCTGAGTAACTAATATACCTACAGTCCTCAAAATTGATGGACTTGCCCACCCCCTAAGGACCTGAACAGGAACAGGTTTCCACGCTGCAAAGCAATGATCAAGGCTGATCCTTCACAGAGGTAACATGTATATGCACCAAGGTTGTGCATATTGCTCATGCTTCATCAGGAAATCTACAAAATACTAATTCTACAATTGAAATACTATTTACAACTCTTTCCAACTATTCTCACTTTTCTTACTCATCACACTATTTATTGAAGTCAAAGTCAAAAAAGTTACTAGATGATGGGCTAGTCTTTTGGCATCCCATGGTGAATGGATGAGCCATACAAATAGTGTCCCATATATATTGGCTTGGCTGGGAAGCTATTGTCTATGGGGCTTATATATCAGTGGCCCATGCAATAAGGCTCAGCTGGACCTGCAGTGTTCCATTTGGAATGGTAGGAGCATATTTCAGTGTGCCATGCACATTGGCCTCAGCCCAAATAGGAGTGCCCATGTACTATGGAGGGTGTATAGTCCATTGTACCATGTCCTTGGGAGGGCCCAGATATTATGATCCCATAGGACAGGCTGGATGAATACTCCAGTGTTTCATGGTGTATGGGAGGCCCACGATATGGTGTCCTGTCTGTCTCAAATCAGCCCATGTATTATGATCACCAATCCATGTGGTCTGGCACATATGCCACAGTCTTGTGCACAATGAGCAAGCCAATCTCCCAGTGTGCTGTCTGACTGGATTCAGCTCAAGTTGAAGTGTTCCACCAATTATGGGCCAGCCATAGTTGATATTTGGGGGAGGTATATGGAAAATAACTTGGCTCAGGATGGCATATAATATCTATAGAACTACCTTTACATGGACCCCCTGTTGGATAAGTGTAGGTTATATGGAATGTCCCACTGGACCTGCAGGCATCAACCAAGTCTGGACATTCTGAACTCTCATCCAATCCCCATGGGGTATCCCTATCCAATTGTGTATGTTGTCCCTCATGTAGTAGGCAAAGCAACATTGGTTCCCACACACAGAACTAACCCCATGTCGAAGAAGCCTGCCAGAAAATGCAGCTACAGTGCCTGGGTTGTAAAGGAACTGAAGGCCAAGCATGGGGATATCCAATACACAGTCTTCATAATCACCAACTGTGACCAGCATGTCATACCAATCAGACTGTGAGTGTGGGTCCCAGTGAAAGGGTGTGGTCTGGTTAGAGATTATGGAGACATTAGTAAAAACCAATGGCCAGTGCTGCAAGGCATTATGCATATCTTGGTTATGCTGACTTGACCATGTGTCCAACGACTGCATGGCTTGCCTTCCAGCATCATACAGGCCTGGGTGCATAATTGAAAGTGCACTGGAGAGGATGGCAGCCAGGAGGTAAGACCACTGGGACCATTCATGACCAGCATCCATCTGTAGGTCAGTGGAAACTGATGGGGAAAAGTTCATGGTCTGAATGCCACTTGAGAGACATACCCCTGAGGTAATATAGCCATACCATATGCCCCTGTTGGTGCCTGGCTGGGGAAAACTCCAGGCACCCTGGTGACTGTGAAGTGTGATTGAAATATTCAGCATTTTTCTGCCAGGAGCCACTTGTCATACTCTTGGACATTGTGTGGTGAAGGGGGTCCAGAGTGGCAAGCATGTGTGTCTGCAGGGATGCCTGAATAATATAGAGTGTAAAGGAAATGTTTGAACTGACTTGCAAATCATTGGTGATGGCACCAGGAGGGTACCACAATGCAATGGTATTGCCAGTACCACAGATTACTGTAGGTTCATCCACAAAGCTAGTGAGACTTGATGGATGCACTGCCAGGTGGCCTGCCTCTCAGGTTTCATCAACCCCCAATTCCATAGCTGAAAGGTACTCAGGAAGCCAGATCAGATCAATGCTGCTTTGCTCTGCAATACAATTTACATTTGACTTTCCATTCAGCTGGGACATCAGCTTACTTCTATTATTGTATGCCACATGCATGCTGGCCACTATCTGATTCATAGCAACAATGCCATGTGTTGGAATGTAGAGTGGAGGATCTGGTTTGGGGGCATTTGGTCCTGGGAAGGTTTGACTGGAAAATTCCTGGCACATATAGTGTGTAATATCCTGGGTGGCACTGTGATTTATTGCCATTAAGAATGGAAGATGATATAGTGAGCATGGTGTTGATGATGGGTTATCTGGTAGCTGTAGTGTGTAGTATGGAACCATGGCTATGTATGCTGGTGTTTTCCAGACCATAGTGAAGCTGCCATGGTTACATGGCATTGGTAAATGACCATTCCAGCATGGTATGGGTACCAAGATAGAGGCAATAAATGGCAAGTTCTGCTATGGCTCCAGTGCTAGCTACACTTCCTACCACACTGGTTCCATTTCATGGTGTTCATGTTCCTTTATACACCATGCCAAAGCATTAGATGATGGACTGGGGCCTTTCAACCTAATTTTGTACTCCACAGCCATTGAGAAAACATGATGCAACCTTTTCTAGTACAGGTCTGGCAGTGCTGGTAATGCACAGATACAATGTTCTGCTATGGGTCTGGCACTAGCTACACTTCCTACCATGCCAGTCATATTTCAGCATGTGGACCTTTCATTATACACTGTCCACAAGCATTGGACAATAGCCTGGGGCCTTTCCAACTAATTGCCTATTCCACAGCCATTTAGAAAATGCAATGCTGCCTTTCCCAGTACTGGTCCAGTGGTGCTGGTAATGCATAGATACACTACAGGATCAACAATGGTCTTGTTCAGATTGATATCCAGCCACTTGGCCCATGATAACTGCTGTGCCAGGATAGGCCACTTGCTATTCTGGCCTCCCAGGATGTGATTATTGATGATCTCTTATCTTGTAGTCATCACATGTGTCAGCCACATTGCTATGTAATAACATTTGCACCCAATCCAACTCTACTCTGAATCACCATGGATGTCAGGACCACTAATCTATCCTACCTCTTCATGATAATCCAATACATAGGTGTCCAATTTAGATGGTTCACATATGCTTTGCAGCAGGCCAACAACCCAAGCAATCAACTGCCAGATGACTGGTATTGGCAGGTTCAGGTGGAAACAGTGAGTTTGTCAAAATGGATGCTGGTTCACTGTGTCATGCACTTTTCCACAGCATATATTGAAGCAGGCCCTGGCTACCTGCAACTCATATGGGACAATCATGAAGGTTCCATATGTTGCCAATGAACTGCTTTGGTGGATGGCCATACAAAATATGGGAGAGACTGCCCTGCTGGCACACATCATGGAGTTGAATGTGCTGCAGGTCAAAAGAGGAGAGGTGAGATGTATGATCCACACTGGTCCTATGCCACATACCTGGTGGACAAGGGACCCTACCCATCTGGATGGGTATGATTGTTGGTCATTGGAGGAAGTTTTGCAGGAGGCCAAGGAATTCTTTGTTGGGGTTGAGGTGCATGGTGGTCATTTTTTGATCATTCCATTGAATCCATCTGTGCCATAGGAAGGAAAAGACAGTCTCCCACTGCTGTGTGACATGGACTGGATGCCATCAGACAGCATTGGCCAGTTGATTGAAAGCTGTGATGAGATGATCCATCAGGAGGAGGAGGAGATTTGCTGTAGGGAATAGGTACTCCCTACTAAGGGGATTTAGTTATTTTATCTTTTCTACTGTATTTTTGCTTTGATTTACATTAGTGATACTTAGCCTACCTGTGTGGCGCATTTTTGGTAGCTTAGTCAGCATTTTTGCCCACTAGTGTGGGTCCAGAGTACACACACAAAAAAAAAAAGAAGAACCAGACTGTGAGACAGTGAGAAGTAAAAGACTCCAAGTGAAAGACTGCAACAAGCCCTCATTGAGGCACCCCCAGATGACCTCCAGATGACATTATTCACTCATTTCCCCACTCCATTCATTCTGACCAACTCCAGTCACTCCTTCACCCTCTTTTCTCAATTCCAAGCTCAGAACCCCTCTGGGTCAAACTGGACCCAATTCTATCAAGCCCTAGGAGTCCCCTGCACTCCCTAGCATCGCTTTATACCTAACTTACATCACCAGCTCCATGGTGTGATGGAATTCTGCAGTGAATGGCTCACCCTTTTTGACAGGCTTGGACAAGTACAGGACCAGCTTGAGGACTTCCGAGTCAATTCAGTTACCTGGCCAGGAGCCACCAATAAGTAGGGTGCTGTCCTCATTACACATCTCATTAGAATCTTGATATGTAATTTCCCCAGTTTCATACTATCTAGAGATATATGCACATTACTCTTCCAATTCATCTCTTGAAGTACATCCTAGTGTTCTGGCCAAATCCTGATACATCTGGGACTGCCTAGCCATATAACATGTGAAGCCAGTATTGCCCACTGCTAATGCCTCCATATGCTGGCCACTCCAGAATTTCTCCTTGTGTAAGAAGAATTTCTGTGTCCACCCAGTCTCCAGTGTGAGTAACTCTAGCTCAACTGCAAAAGCCCCACACTCATCTATCCAATCCTCATAGTCCTTGTCTCCCTCCTCATCTTCTTCTGCTCTTGGCCTCCTCAAAAGTCCATCTGGTGCTGTGTGCTTGTGTGCTGGAACATGTATGAGCTTGAAGTTGAATAGGAGAATTATGGTGATCCAATGATTTATGATCACATTAGGCTGTAGGTCAGGATTGTTAATCATCCCTTTGATGTACTGCACATCCACCTCAACAACTAAATTCTGCACACTGAAGTTATGAAGTCAGATGTTGTGCAAGGCATGGAAAAGCCCAAATAGTTCTAGCTTAGCTTGGCTGTAGCAGTGTTCGCAATCACTGAGAGTTATTGAGCTGAACCTAGCAGGGTAGCATTTGCCATCTTCCCACTCCTGCATGAGGAGGTACCCAACAGTGATGTTAGAAGTGTTGACTACTAAGATGACATTCCTTTTGGAATTATAGTTGATAGTTCGCAATGCAGGGGACAAGACGATTGCCCAGCAGAGGTACTCCGTGGCTTCCCTATGTTCATTATGGAATTTGAAGGGGACATTGACATCCTTCTTGGTCAGCTCAACAAGGGGACAGGCATGTTTGGTGAAGTCTTTGATGAAGATCCTGCAGTATGAGCAGAGACCTAAAAATCCACATACTTCAGTAATGTTTGTGCAATAAGGCCAATCTTTAATCTTCTGGACTTTAGTTTTGTCCAGAATTCTACCCTCAAATGACACCTTGTGCCCAACCACTATGATAGATGGTGCAGTGATGATGCATTTCTTTGCTGACATGGTGGCTCCTGCATGATGCAGATGGTGTAAGACTTGGTTGACATTCTGCAGGTGCTCCCAGATGAAGTGTCTAATCCTGGAATTCTGTGGAATTGTTTTGTAGGTCCTGTCAGGATTTTGGTAGTGAAATTTGGGGCCTTTAATAGGACAGTCATTGATAAATGGAATGGTGACTTCCAGAATTTCATCCTTCAAAATCCAACAGATGTCTCCATGGAAAATTTGGACAGCATTCATTTAGCCCATAGGAAGTTTGGTGAGTCAAAGGGTGCCAATAGGAGTTTGGAAGGTAGTGAGGTCATGGAAATCATTGTGTATGGTGTGATGATCATATCTGACCATATGATCTAAAATTCCATAGACTGAATGGCAAGTGAAGGCTTCAGTGATTGAATCAATGAAGGGGGGAATGGCTGAGTCCTGGATAGCAACAGCATTTAGAGCTTGTAAGTCATGTACAAGGTGCAGGGATTTCTTGTCCTTCTTAACTATGCAGAACCATTTTGAGCACATAGGACAAAGTAGATGGTTCATAAACCCCTGTGGAAATCTTTTCTTTGATGATGTTAACAACTTCATGGAATATAGCAGGAGGAATGGGAATATTTCGCTCAATCCAAGGCTTGTGAGCTAGCATAGGTATCTTCAGGGGTGGGAACATGTCCTCTTGAAAAGTCCCTCTTTCCAAAGCATCCCAAGCAAAGGCATCCTCTTGCTCCCTGACCAACCATCATACTAGGTCTAATTCTGTAGGCCAAAGGAACCTTGCCAGGTCCAGATTGAGCTCATCAGCTCTTTCTTGAGTAAACCTGGAACCTGGCATGAATGGCAGGGGATGAGTAGGTAAAACAGGCAGATCTGTGAGTGGGTCTTCGGCCTCCCAACACTCTACCTGGAATTCTGCTGGCATCAACATTGGTACTGGCCTCACCTTCCTTGCTACAGGTTTGTACTTTAAGACATGATAAACAGGATTGAACTGATAAGTAGAGCATAAGGCAGAGATTGTCAGTGGAGAAATGGTAGTAGCAGTCAAAATCAAGAAAGGATTGGTTGGAGAAATGGAACTAGTGATGGGGGGTGTACTGTTGCCTCATAAATTGTAGATAAACACCACAGTGGGATTTATAGCAGCATCTGTGGGCAAAAATGGGGTAGACTTCAAAGGGTATAAAGGCAGATCAGAAACATAAAGTGAACACATGGAGAAAGTGCAATCCTGGTCTCCTTGCAGATCATATGAGTCCTCAACTGATATTAAAAACCCTGTTCAGGTGGATTCATGTGGCGATGCATTTGTTTTCACATGAAGAAGTCTTCTTCATCTTCAGAATTTACAAAATGTGGAAGGGGTTGCAGTCTGCTGTGAGGTCATGTCAGAATTAAAACTTGTTTCCTGGAATTAGGGTCACAGATTTCTAGAGACCGTTCTCCATCAGGGAAATCATGAAGAATGCTGGGGAGTAGGCAGAAGAAGGGATGACCAAGTTATAAGTCAAAAGGCATGTGATCAACAACTTGGATTTGTAGATGGGCCTCAATGTTTTGTATGTGCAAGGTGGCATTCTCTATGACCCAAAGGGTGCTTTCTTTGGATTGGTTAGTGGCCTCAAGAGTCATAGTCATGTCAGTATGGAGGGGGACCTCTAAGGCACCATTCAACCTGTGAATGTGAAGTCCAAGTTTTTGACTTCAGCTTTGGTGAAGAGGTTCACATGATGTGAACTAGCACATGCATCCACCTGAGGTACACAACCATTGTCACCCAGTTACTGTGATCATTGAATGTCTGGCTCAACTATGGGATCAACCTGCTCATTGCACTCACATGGCCTTTAAATCAATCCTCTAGACCCACAGAACCCCCTGCCTCCCCCCAGGACTTGCAAGAAAGCTGCAGTATGGACAACAGAGGAGGAAGGTGCATTACTGGATTTCTTGGCCTCTCATCTTTCACAGTTTTTTTTTTTGCCTTGCTAACAATTATCCAGCTCAAAAAATCCTACTATGCCATCGCCAATATTAAATCAGTGGCCTCTGGCATTGCTTATGATGATGAGCACAGTGCAATGGTCTCACTGGACAATGCTGATCTTTGGGATCAGTATGTAAAGGTAATGTAGTTTTTTTCTTGTCAGATCATCCACTAACATCTAGTCAGGCACACAAAGATGCAAAGCCATTTTGCAATTCTGGGTTCCCCCACTTCACCAGTGTAGAGCTCCTTCTCCCCTCGCATGGCCAAGGTTGGTTTATCTACTGGCCACATGCCACTACTGTGCCTTCTACAACCATGACCTCTGCCTTCAATACTCCTGCCTCTACCACACCCCCCACCACTTTGACTATTCCTACCCCCCCTCCCTCCCTCTCCCTCCTTGACATGATGCATGCTCTCAATGCTCACTGTTGCAAGGACACACAGTCTGTGGATCCAAACTTCATCCCCCCTTCTGCACCATCAAGTTTTTTGTTGCATGTGTCAGCTGGGTCATCATTGTCATCAGCCATCACCAGCATCAGTCATGGAAAAAGGAAAGCCAAGTCCATTGCAATGTCTGAAGGTGGATTGAAGCGCTCTCAGCCCCTGTTGGCCAAAGCATGGGCTGAAGAAGATTGCAGTTCATTCATCACCGCCATCACCTCCAGGCTCAATAACTTCATGCATGCAATTGCTGCCCCATTGCCCCCACCACCCATTACCAATCCCCTTGTCAATGCTGCCATGGACTACATCAACAACATGCCACAGCTCTTGACAGACAATCTGATTAACATCAGTGACTACTTCCTCAGTGCATCCCCAGATGAAGTGAATATTTTCCTCAAGAATCAGGAGCTGGTGAAGCAGATTTGGGTGCAGTGTCAGCTGATGAAGTACCAGGATGGGCAGAGATAGGTGTTTGTTTGTTTTGTTTACAATATACAAATGTACCCCCCCCCCCCCTTATACAAATATGTACATAATAAAATGTACATGACTATGACTAGCTTCCTTTTGACAATGGAAGTTATTTTTCTACATGAGTGTGAAACAATTGTAAGAACATATACTTGTACACCATGAAATCTGAATGTTCAGGCTCAGAGAAGGCCCCTAATTGTAAGCTGGTGCTGATAGTCAATCCACATCTCCTCTGCAATGTTGTCACACCTATTATCAGCCCTTCTCCTCTCTGCAGCATCTGCTGGTCCATCACCAAGGCTTCCAATACCATCACCCTCTCCTATGTCCATGGCAAGTTCAGGGTCAAAGAACTCTTCTGGATCATAGCACCATATGAAATTGTGGAGGGCACAGAGAGCAGCAGGTACTTGAGTTTGGGTGTGGATGCTATATTCAGGGGGAATTTGAAGAACCC